CCTCTGCACTGTGAGGTCGATGCGTTAACCACTCGCTCACTGGGCCACCATTCTGCGCAACAAACCAAACTTAATGAAGCTCTGCTTACCCTTTTGTGTGTGTGTGTGTGTGTGTGTGTGTGTGTGTGTGTGTGTGTGTGTGTGTGTGTGTGTGTGTGTGTGTGTGTGTGTGTGTGCACCAGCTCACCCGAAAACCTTAATGAGGACAAAATATACAAATGAATGGAAGGATGGCATATGTACATGGGACACACTTCTTGATTAATCAATCGGGGGCTTAATATAAAATTCTTCATCTTAATAAAACATTGTTGCTGCGTGGGAATGGTTTGGGCCATTTTTTGTTCCCAGTGCATGAAGTATGTTTGAAAGCATGGTTGTGTTGTGTGGAATATCTTGGCCTCAACAAATCGAGCTATACAGTATATCTAGTTCCATAGTGTTCTTCAGTTAAACTTCCTGTTGGTGCAATGGTCAGGTGTACCTTAGTAACATGCTTGGATGTTGATTGTACAGTGAGCGTTAAGACAGCTGGCGCTTAAGTCAAAGCATCCAAGGAACCAAAGCTGGAACAGAGCGTGATGTACCAAAAGAAAAGAGAAGAGAAATGGGGAGAACATTTGAGACTGGCGTGAGATGAAATAAAAATGAGTGAGTCACAAAGTCTCTGTGCAGTCACCGAGCAGCCCCCACCACCTCCATCCTCATCAGCACGAGCAGAAAATGTCGGGCTTTACTCGGGAACACACGTACGTACACACTCAAGCACCGCCCACGTCATCTGCCTTTCAGTGCAATAACATGAGAGGATTTGGTGGGGGGGAAGCACAAGCAGATTTTTTTCTCTGACTCTGTCTCACACACAAGCACACACACAGCCCTATCCCGTCACTTAATTAATTTTGGAGCCAAGAGTTAATCAGGTTCCACTAATGGATTCCTGTGTGCTTAGTAACTCTACTACTGTATATCCGAGTGCCAGTGGGCATCAAAAGCACCATGTTATTGTATCACATCTCTTACCTCCTGTTCTCTGCATTTTGCTTCCCCTTAAGCTTTGGAGACGCACGCATACAAATGTAGAGGCTTGGCTTCAACTTACGGGGTCGGACTAAAGACGCAGCAGCACTGAAACACAGGAAAGGATTATTGCTGATATGGAGCACAGCAGCCCTGTTGCGATCTCCCTGCATGGGCTGTATTTCAAGCATGTATTGTTTTTTTGTAATGCCTTGAGATAGGCTGGCAACCAGTCTAGGGTTATGGTTCTTGGATTATTGTTTTTTTCCCTATAAATACTTTTTTTTTTTGGTTGTAGGCTGTACATTTTGGAATGAGTTTCCCCTGCAAATCAGAGTAGAGTGTCAGAATTTTGTCTGTATGTTTTAACTCCTTTTATTTCCTTCATTTTGATCTGTTTTATTTAGTTATCTATCCATTTTCTCTACGATTTACCCAGTTCAGGGTCACGGGGAACTGGAGCTTATCTCGGCGAAAGCAGGCACAAATGAAAATTTTTAGTCAACTTCCATAGTTTGAAACAAGCATTGTTGTCGTCCCTATAAATCTCCTCCAGCAAACAACAGTTTGATTGGCTCATGATGGTCACATGATCACAACAGCTCTTTACAGTCTGTGACTAGACTAGTAGAGGAGAAAAAAGCACATCACGGTGAACATAGAGTATTTCATCTTAATTTGACAGTAATTAAGACTCGTAGAGGAGAAAAAAAGCACATCACGGCGAACATAGAGTATTTCATCTTAATTTGACAGTAATTAACCGTGGTTCTGCCTCCGAATACATCTGAATACCTCTCTGACAGTGTGTCAATCATAACTGAGTATTATTGTCTTTATAAAGACAGAATATTTGAGACACCACCGTGTATTTTCCAATCTGGTTTCAGATGTTTGTTTGAGTGAGACTCAAGACGAGCCATCCTAATCTCATCCAGCTCTGGAGTCTTGCAGGGCAAAGTTATCAGTGGTGCACAAGGTCTTCACACCCTGCATAGCTTCCTCGGGTTTCCGCGGAGCAGTTCAATTCAAGGGCGAAGCGCGACGTTTGGTCCTGCAGCAGCCAGCTGGAGGTTTTAACGCAGGGCCCTTTGAAAACATCTGCAGTTCAGTGATAACACTTGTCCTCCATGTACGAAAAAGGGGGTGGGGTGGGGCCGCAGTTAAATAGATCGAGGGCCGACTGGTGAGGGAAAGCTTTTGCCTTGGCACTGTGGAGGATTTGAGAGATGAAGGAGGAGAGAGAGAGAGACAGAGTGCAAGTGGAGGAGAATGTTATGTGGGTTGCAGGGTGGAGTGCATGTTAATGGAGACCAGCCCTATTTCGGATCCAGCAGCTGGAGGAGCAAAGAGATCCATCTTTGTTATGAGCATGTATTCATCGGTGGCCATGAAATGAGATGAAGAGGGGGAGACGAAGAAAAGAAAAAGCTTCCATCCTGTGCTGCAGGGTTTTGGGAATGTGTAACTGGCGGGTTGGACAGTGCTTGCTTATTCTTCTTCCAGTTGTTCAAAAAAAAAGACAAGCGTCCCTTTATCGTCGTATACGCCACAGCGACTGCTGTATAAAGATGGGCCGGCAGAAGAGGCTGCATCAATTATTGAAGGCCGTGGAGAGGACTGAGCGTCTGCTTGTCACGCACTCTTTCAGCGGGTCCCTCACTCCTCACGCTCCCTCGCTCGTTACGTCCCCTTCTCAGCCATCCTTCTGCCCCTCTCCTCCACACATAGCAGAAAATCCCCTCGTCTGTCTCCTCCCTCCCCGGCTCATCTAATCTCACCTCTCTACCCCCTTTGCCTCGTCCGCCTCATCCGAGAGGCGCTCGCTGCCCCTCCCCTACACATGGCTCGTGACATCTTTGCTCTGTCTCATGCATTCTTTGATTTTGCCTGAATTATTCAACCAGTTAAATCTGCACCAACAGAATAGGTTAGGGTTTTGGCTACGTCTGTATGTTTGTTGACAGCTACGGTGTCCAAATGTTTTCATTTCAGGGCCGCATGAAGAAAATCGGAAGGATGAAATGACTGCTTGAACTTCTTTTACTTTAATTCATTAAACATGCTGAAGTAAAAAAAAAAGCAGGCAATGACTATTTAATTTATATTTTGTAGTTATTTTGAAAAACTGCAACATAACAGCTTTCTGTTAAAAGGTGATAGTTGAGGGTTTTCAAGATTTTGGGGTGGCCTCTACAATACTAGATCCACCCCTGCACTGAAGAACAGCTGATTACCATCTCCACATTCAGAACCAAAATAAGAGGAAATGCTAGTTAACTGGCCATTTTTCAAACTGGTTTACTTGAGCCGTTTTCCTGGATTTGGACTGATTTGCAAGGCCCACAGATTATTGTGTTCTATTGCAACAAAAACATGCAGCCTAACAAAAGAAAGAGGGGACTCTCTTCTTTCAGCTGTAAAAAAATACCGTATTTTTCACTTCTTTAGCAATCACCATTCGAAAATAGCTAAACTTCATCAGATTTCTTTTTTCCGAGGGAAAATAATGGAGAAAAAGACTTTTTTGTAAAGGCATGCATTTCAAGCAAATTTCAAGTATGGCACCACTATTTTTTGCTTTTGTGCCATCTCAAACATCTAAATAAGACAACAGAAAACAGCATTAACAACACTACAAAAGACAGTCGTTCATACAGTTTATTAATAATAGTATTTACCACATCCTGCCTTCTCGCTCTGCCCAATTCCAACCTTTTTTTTTCTAAACTAGCCTTGTGGGCCTTGTCATATGTCATTTTTAGTATCTGCTGCAGGCCACTGAAAAATGGATGGCGGGGCCCTAATAGCCCACGGGCCGTAGTTTGGATCAACCGGTCTAAAGAATCTAATTTTTTTTTTCTTATCAGTCTACCTTAAAAAATTGTGCACAGATATGGGAAAAAAGGGTTTGCTGCTGTGGTATTAGGCAATGTATTAACATCATGACCCAATTCCCAAATTCTGGTGCTCATCCAAATCGGGATTGTCAGCATTTCAATATGCTACGGGATCCACTGGTTGCCCAAATCAGCTCAATTTGATAATATACCAGTGAGTGCAGTCACTATTTTGGTTATTAAAAAAAAGGGAAACAAATGGCTTGTTAGGCATTTTCTTTTTTTTACTTTTTAGCGGTGCTTTTCGGTGGAAATTCCATTATTTTCAGAGAACTGGAAAAAAAATGCCTCCCTCTCTCTTGAGACTCAATGTTCCCACAGTAATTGACTCTGTGGCCAGTGAGACAGAGCTTCTAGCAGTTGACCCAATGTGTTTTTCACACACTTTGCACAGATGGAACACTGTGTCCAAAGTCAGAATTTTAACCTTTTTCTGGACATCAGCGGTTCTTAACCACTGCAAGTCAGCCAGGCCACAACCCCCCTTGGGCAAGCAAGGGAACAAAGATTTATACAGCCTATCTGCCTTTGGAGGGTGCGTATATACCCTGCGGTCCCCAGTTAATCATATAACGAACAGCATACACGCTAAAAACGATTCACACTCACACATTAGGGTCTGTATTTTCACAGCCAGTGCAAGTTGAGTCAAGTCTCATTCCACGTGGAGCTCTGTTAGACCGAGTGTTGGTATTTTTCAGATGCGCACAAGCCGGCGCTAGGGGGCACATTTAAAAATGATTCAAAGGCCAAAAGTTGTGGCAGCCAGCTTGGTTCTCGGCCAACTCCTCTCATTCCTTTTAAATGCACTGTATGATTTATTTGGACTGGCATTGCATATTAATCATTAAATTACAGTCAATAGATGCCAGAGTCATGCAGGATTAATCATTTTAGGTGGGCCTCACTATTCCAAACATTTTGGAGGATCTGTGTTGCTCAAAACCTTCTAAATTCTAAAAACGAACGATGATGAGGTTGTGATATTATTGATGTTTTATTTGAGCTCTTGAGTAGTGCGCATCCTTTCAATGGGGCCAAGCAGAGAATGAGTCACTTAAATGGCATGTAAACAAGCAGCAGGCAGCGAGGTGGAACGCAGAACCAACCATTAGGCGGGTGATCATTGACGTGCTGAGGCGAGAAGGTCCAATCAAAAAACATATGCGGACTCTACCATGAAAGAAAACAGAGGGAGAGAGGAAAGACTGTTTACGCGCAGGAGAGAGGAGGCAAGAGGGAAACTGAGTGACATGCAGGAAAGTCTGTAGGGAACCAGTTGCTACGGTAACAGGGAAGGTAGCCTGCTCCTGGGGGTGGTGTTACCATGGAAACCAACCTCAGTGGCCAAGTGATGCTGAGTAGGGGAACATGAAGTAGTGGGCTAAAAATGAGTCGGGTGTTCATGGGCAAGTGAGCGGGAGCTAATGTGAAACGTGAGCGCCCGCTGCATCACGTTTGTCTTCCGCTCGACCCTCCTCTACCCTGTGAACATGTCGCCAGCCAAGTCAGGAAAGACACTTGAACATAAAAGTCAAAAACATGCGCCGAATACTGACTGACAACATGGAACAACACATTTATTGTATGAAAAAACAAACATTTCAAAATGAATAAAAGAATGAAAGGTTTTTGTGCCACACCCTTGCATCAAATGCTCTCCAGTGAAAATCATTTAGCTCTAAATGATAACACTGTCATTGGTTTGCGACACTCTCATAATAGCTCTGGTGGCACCCATCACACTGCCTTTACCCTACTTCCTCTTTATGATCCTTTCACAGAATGCGCTGTATACATTTATAAAGTGAATGTTTCATTTCCATAAAATGCATCGAGCAGACAGACTCCCGGGGGAGTGGCATGATGAGATTGCAATTGAAAGCATGCATAAATATGAGACGGAAGGAGAGCGAGAGATATATGAATGTTTTAACCCACCTCCTCCCCCCTTTGCTGCAGCCGCCCTCCCTCAGCAGGTTATTATACTCTGACACATGTATATGCGGCACATAGTGTATGTATAAAAATAAAGCAGGGTTTGTCAGTTTAATAGCTGACCATATGCATGTCTAGGCTTTTAGCTTGTAGGCTTTAAATCCTTATCGAGCCTTTTATTTCATTTCCGTAAACAGCAATTGGTTCAGGAGGCCATTAAAAGAAATAAAATGCCGTATTCCTTTTAATCTACTAACATGCTATGATCCA